CGTGCAATAGAATCAGTATCTTCATATCGCTGCTGGAATGGAGACTGACAGGAAATATCCTAAAATCAGTGATCACACTTCAATGTTTAAAAGTTTTATTTTCTTTCCTTTGGTATTGAAAACTCCTTCAATTAAGATCTCCTTCTGCATAGATAATTAGAAACTAAGAGATGACCTAGAGGCTTTTTCTCTTTCTGACTTTGCTTAGAGAGAGATTATTTTATGTTTTTAATTTCCCAGTCTGGACTCTTTCTTCCTCCCTTTCAAAATCAGAGCGAGGGCATTATGTCAATTTTGCAAAGATTTGACATTATCACTGTATTGGCTCTGCCTGAGATGGAGTTAATTCTCCCTATAGCAGCCCTCATAGTGCTGCGCTTTCTTTTGGGAGCTAGAAAAGATGTTGATAACCCGCCAGTGTTTTGGGTACTGCTTGCACAGCACCCAGGCTGTCTCCCCAGCATTTCCCCTCACCAGTAGGCTGGGGGTGGGCAAGATCTTGGGAGGGGACACAGCCAGGACACCTGACCCAAGGGATATTCCGTACCATATGATGTCTGCTCAGCAATAAAAGCTAAGAGAAAGGGGGGAGGGCATTTATCATTATGATGTTTGTCTTCTGAAGCAACTGCTATGCATACTGATGCCATACTTCCCAGAAGTGGCTGGGCATCGCCTGCTGAGGGGAAGCAGAGAATAAATCTTTTGTTCTCCTTTGCTTCCGTGTGCGGCCTTTGCTTTTGCTTTATTAAACCGCCTTTATCTTGACCCATGAAGTTTTTTTCCATCTTACTTCTCCGGGTGCTCTCCTGCTGAGGAGGGGAGTGATAGAGCAGCTTGGTGGGCACCTGGCATCCAGCCAGGATCAACCCACCACAATCACTTTCATAACTAAAGCATGAACTTCCTGGTTTTCTTTCCAGGATGGAAACCTGCCACATTTCAAATGGGAACACTCATAGAGGCAGATAAACCTTGTTATCTTCTCTGACTTCATCAGTAACCTGGAATGGTTCTCTACAATCTTCTTGTGATTTCTTATTCTCAATTCAAAATTCACATTGATTTCTCATTCTTTCAGGTTTGTTCACATTTTCCTGGCCAAGGAATTCTCTGGTGCATTGATACACATCCTTATTTTTGTAGCTGTGACTGCTGACTCAGTTTCAGTTTGTTAATTGGATAACCACACAGCATTCCCAAGGGTACTTCTTCAAAGCAGGATTCCTTTAACGTGATGTTCTGCATTAGATTATTCATTCTCCCATTGTTAATGTTACATTTTCATTCTTCAGAGGCACTTTTTTCATTCCAGCCTATTTTATTCTCAGATTCATGGGGCACTTAAATCCTATTGTTCCAAATATTCATGATCCCTCCTAGATTCACCTGTGACGAGAATTATCCTGTTCTTCAATCCATCCAAGCGATTAGTTAAAATATGCTAGTATTTGATGCAGCACTAATCCCTCCGCTCCCTATTAATATCCCCCCCTTAATTTAAAATTCTTTTCCCTTATCTAGCCAGTCCTAATTCCACTACAGTTCTCCTTATTCCATTTTCTTCTATTAAAGTATCACGTGGGATTCCACATCTAATAAACTTCCTGAAAATAGTTTTATGTAATACACAGTGGTGTAGGAACACATCCACAATAGCTGTGATTCCTTGCAAACTGCTAACATTTTTTTTTTGAAGTAACTAAAACCTAATTACAGCAAGAGTGATAAAACTGTTGCGCCTGCAAATTTTAAAGTGGTTTAGAGGGGAAAGTGAACTCCTAATTAGTGCCTGATAGACAGTGCAGCCCTTGCAACACTGAGGATCAAAGAGTGCCGTTTGAAAGGATTCGATACATGCATCTTGTGAATTTATACACACAGTGGCCTAAAACAGTCTGAATTAATTACTCTATAGCTCAACTCAATTCCATGTGTACTTTTAAAAGCCATACCTAAGAAAAAATAGTTACAGCAATAAAGAAGAAGAAAAAGGATGAATGAAGATAATGGCTTCCAGCAAAAACAGTGTAATCACAAATCCAGATCTTGCCCTAACTGAAATAAACCCCTCCTTCCTTCTCAAGACAGCAATATGTAAAAAATTAGAAATACATTTAAACTGAATCAGAATCTTTTCATAGAATGAACTGATTTAAATACAGTGTTTTCTTCTCGCTCTTTATATGTAGCCTTGACCTCATTGGTCTAAGAGCTATGCTTTTCTTACCCTCTGTAGTCACAAGAGTGTACCTGTGTGTCATGAGAGATTTACCCAGTGTTGTTGCTATCACTTATCTTTACCTGCATGTGCTCTATCTCAAATATTACTATTTATTCAACTCAGAACCAGACTTCTTGTAATGTAAACCAAAGATTAAAATCAAGCTTTACAGAGGTCTAACATGAAGCCCGTGCACTTCCCATGTCCTGGTTTGTTGGTTGAAGTCACACTGAGATTTTGCAGAGAGAAAGCAACCAGCTGCAAGTACCCTTTTAAAGAAAAGGCAGTACTTGCCTTCACTCCCGTGAGTTCATTAAATGCATTTATGTATATCAACTTGGAAAGGCCACCTCGAGTAACATGGAGACAAGGCAGATGGCTTCGCAAGTATATTGTGATTTCTTAAATATGGGATCTAAAAAAGCAGCCAAATAGCTGCACTCATCAGCCTAGAGTATGTTTAATGTAGTCTGGAAGGCAGATTAGAAAAGCCAAGGCTCTATACAAAATGATTGTTTTTTCAACAAAGCTGTAGTGGAAGCTTTATAGGCAGCTCAGAAAGAAGTGGAAAAACCCCTGATATTTAAATAAAGCTAATTTGAGATATTCTGTACTCATTCAGAAGATGGGTAGCTTTCCTGGTTTACAGTCTATAATCAACCTCCAGTATAATGTTAAATTTATCCATGAGAAAAGTACAGAGTACTTGGAGAACTTCTCAATGAAGAAAAATTCCTGCATTATGGCAAACAGGAACAACATTCCAGTTGCAAAGCCCCATTCAGTATACTCACTTACCCCATTGTCTGAAAATTAGTAACTCATAGGGTTTATTTGTATAAAAATGAAGTGGAAATGTTATCACTTTGTTCACTACAGGTAACCTTGTCTTAAAAAAATGCTTATCCCAAAAAGCTATGACTGGAAATGTATGAATTCAGAATAACGCTACTGATACCCTAATGGATGATGCCATGACTTTACTCTTTGCCAAGGGAAGTTTATTATGTATGTCGTTACATGAGATTATCCTATATTGTCTGTTTTGATTTAGGACACTGGCATCTACATAAGGTGCCTTGATCAGAATAATGCTGACATTTCTTTTGTATATGTTCAAACTATCTCACGGCAATGGGAAAGGCTTGATCAGTCATTATTTTACTCAGTTCTAGTAACTGGCATGAAGAAGGGAAGTTGTATAAAGTACTGTTGCTCTAAGACCATAAAACTTTCTTTTCAATATTTTTACTGCCCTATTCAAGGAACTACTTTTGGTATTCATAGTTTAAAACCAAAAAGGCGGGGGGGATGAATAACATGCATTCTTTCACTTATCTTTAAACTGCTGCAGCTTTTTAACTTTTCTTTCTCTCCATTTCTCCTCTTTTCCCTTCCTCATGTACTGAATGACAACGGCTTCTTTAGTCCTTACGCACCTAGAATTTGTTTGCATTGTGAATAATTTAAAAAATGCAAAGGCTGCAGCTTACGTACCAATGACACATAGGAGCTTCATTGGCAAAAACAAGCTAGAAAACTGAGAGCAACAGAAAAGTATGGATATCTGAGTAAAACAACACAGGTGAAAATTAAAAACGTCAGATTAAAAAAAGAACAGCCCCATTCAAATGTTGTTTTGCATAGTCACAGAATACTATGTAGCAACTCCTAAGGTAACAAAGGATCTCGGCTGTCTTCCTCAAAGTTCCTTTCCTAAAGGCAGCCCAATAACATTCTCAGTGTTTTAAGATGCCAAGTACAGAAGGTGACTATCAAAGTAAATGATATTTTTAGTAGATAATGCAATGGCAGGCAATTAGTCCTGAAAGGCGGAGTGACAGATGCACCGTTTTTTTTGTGGAATTGGACATTTTATCAACTGCACAAAACATAGATTTTATCTAGTAGATATTTTCATGTACTGTAGCAGTCCACTAAGAGGCAAAAACTCACCCAGAAACCTGTCAAGCAATCTTATTAATGTACACATGCCCAATGTGTGACAGCTGCTGTGTCTAACTCAAATTTCACTGCAATCATAGTGTTTCGAAGAACTACATGTACATTCCCGTTGCTGAAAATGTTGTTTCATTGATGTACTGTGTCTTCATAGCTTACCACACCTCCCTTCTCAACATAAGGAGAAAGTTGCAAAGGAGTAAGTAGTAAGATGGTAGTAAGCTCTAAATGTAACTTCACAACTCTGAAGTAACTTCAAGAGGAGGCGTATATCAAAGTTAAAAGACAAAAGGAAATGCATAATTTATTATTTCAGGTATCAACTGCTAATCTTTTTTTTTGACTAGAGAAACCTTAAGTTTGGCATCCAAACCTGAAGCTTCTATAGTAAGCTCCTGATTCACTTCACAAGTGAACTATTTCAATGTTTTACTTTTTTTATCCTGTGACAGGAACAGCTGCTCAAGTGAAATTTTGGGGCTTGGGATTATTTTCAAATAATGAATGAACCAATCTGAAGTTATCCCGATAAAAACAATAAGCAGCAAGTCCTAAAAATCAGTTAATTTTGATAATTTAATGTGCCATTTGTAGTCATCCAAACATCTTAATACTGTTATGTACAAAACCCACTGAAAATAAAAAAAGAATTTAAATGTTATCTTTCAAATGTAAAAGTGCAATTAACACAGGCAACGTTTTTGTAAGAACATTGCATTTCTATTAAATTCACTGGCTGTAAGAGCCTAACAGGTATACGACCTACACTAAAGTGAACGAGGATTTTATTTTTGTTAATTTTGAATAAGCCTGGTAGTTGATAAATAAACTTTTACTGCCACCATAATTATGGTACGTACATCCAAAAATGCATAGCACAATTGTTTTCATAATTTTCAGTTTTACTGACTTTAACAAAGTAGAGCAACAGTAAGATCCATAAAGTTCAAAAAATAATTAACACCATAAGACCTTGTATCAAGTAAATGTGCACAAAACAGCCTGAATGGCTTTCTCCAGAATTCCGATAGCTTTCCAAAGATGTCATTTACTCCCAATAAACATCCTTCCTTTACAGTACTGAATGGATTTTCTGGTACAAGATTAACATTTATGATCTTTCATGCATTACATATTCACAATTTGGAAAGAAAGGGAAGGCCTTCATACATGTCAGCCTTTAATCTTATCCAGTCCTGAAGTCTCTGCAAAGTTGTTTTTTCTTGTGTTAATATTTTTGCAGCTTTTCTCAGTTTTTCTTCATTTCGTTCTAAATAACGAATTCCGTCTGTCTGCAGCTGATTGAGTTTCTCTTTACGACTTTCATCCAGAGGTATGTCTTCATTCATAAGAGGGTTAAATCTGAAGTAAGTATCTGGGGGTAACAGCGCATCCAGCATGGTGTGAACTTCTGTATCGACAACAAATGAAGGAAACAGTTACATTTACCTGAGACAGACAAATAGTCCTCCGCTCCCTGAACAAGTCCTCTGGAGTGACACAGTAAGTGTAAATATGTGCAGTTTTGCTGAGTGGATGTGTTTCCACCGTTGCCTCATCAAAACCCCTTTCTCATTAGAAGGTTTGCAAGTGACCCTGTAGCGCTGTTTACTCTGGAAAAGCTTCATCTTTTATGCTAAGAAAACTTCACTGGTATGACAATTAAGAAGGTTTTGCAGCTCTTCAGGTTTTTAATTACACATACATTCTATTCCTTTGCAAATCAGAGTGCATTCTGAAGAGCACGAATGTAACTGACATCCTCCCAATTCAGGATATGCAGGATTTGTTACACTCAGTCCTAATGGAAGTAGGTATTATGAAACCGATAGCTATATATTCTTCTCTAATCTTAAGGACTGCAGTAAAAAAGATGTAGGTTTAAAGCTTTCTTTTGTTTGCAACTAATTCATTTTTTACATATTACTACAGATTTTGGGTTTGAATTTAACTTTCATGTAATTCAAAATGTTTAAATTATAACAGTTCAGTTAACTAGTACAATAATAAGCTACCTAATGTATTTGTAGGTTCCTCTCTTCCTTTTTCCCTCTTTTATAACCTATTTTCTCTCCTTTTAGATTTCTTTTCTATCTGTTGGCTCCCTTAAAATTCCGTTTCCATTACTTCTTTCATCTTTCATTTCCATCTTCTTTGCATTCTTACCACACTTCCCTATTCTTTTACCGTTATATAAAAATTTTAAAGTGAAAAAACTATTATGGGTAAGACTACAGCAAAGGTTCTTGTTAACCTGAAATCTCAGCTTGGTCCCTCCTCTCGTAAATTCCTCAGTAGGTTCTTGTTAACCTGAAATCTTCTCAGCGTGGTCCCTCCTCTCGTAAATTCCTCAGTTATGTCTCTGTTCTTGTCTCACCACATCCAGTCTGTCTTGCCCTATAGTCTCCTCTTTGTCCTTCATAATACAACTTCCCAGTTGCTCAAATCTACTCTCCCCTCTCTCCATTTCCTCTCCTTTGGTCTCCACAATAAACTTTCCTCTCCTCCTTTTCCCCAATCAAATTTCTTGCCTCATTTTTCTGCTGCGATGAAGCTTTCTTCCCTTGATAGAATGTCTCTCCTTTCCACGATTGTGCAAAAACCAGAGGTGGCTGAAAAATCTAGCTTTTTCTTACTAATGACAGTTGACAGAGATCATGCAGCAAGGGATCTAGACCATAAGAGTATTTCTTGATCCCTAGATTTTTACAATATCAGTTCCCTTTATAAGAGGAAAAAAAGCATCTGCCTATCAGTATTTCCTGTTTATAAAACCAAAACACATGTAAACTGCTACTGGTAGAGTTCCAGTGTACTCCCATCCTAGGAACAGAGCTTATTTTGGAAAGCATGTGCTTGGTTCCTCCTGACAGCAATGGAAGTCATGAACGTCGGCAGATACAGTCTACTCCTTGGAAAAGCGTGTGTTAAGGACATATAGAAAAGAACTAAAATACTTTTTCTAAAGCTGTTGAAAACCAATCAGTGTTCTATATTAACTATTAAGCTTTTATGTTTATGGAAGAAACAAACCAAATAAGAAAATACAATTTTTCTATTGAAATGAATTCCCGAGTATGCCTTTATTCAGAAGCACAAGTAAAAACATATTGCTTTGTATAAATCCTGTTGGGTTATCGTTGTCATTCTGATTTTTAAGGTACCTCTTATCTCTAGTATACCTGTGTCATCAACCTTATATTTACACTTGAGAACTCATAAGCTAAAAGAGCTTAGCAAGAACATAGTGAAGATGAAGACTCACAGAGATGAGGTGAAGAAATGCATTCATATTATCATCTCCAGAAAACCTGTAATACTGGTATTAAAACACCAATTGTACCTAATGAGTTACAGATAGCCGTGTTTCAAGTAGTTTCAGTGGGGCGGGCAGAGAGGAGAAGGGGAGAGACAAAAGGTTGTACATTGCTCTCTGAATTGAAACCGTAATTCTAAGAAACATAGAAACCTGAAAACAGAATACAAACGTATCTTGAGACACCAACCTTCTGTGTCAGTTGCACTGCTGATAACATTTGTGAGTTTGGCTTTCAAACTGGTGTACGTGACATTCGTCTTTCCCTCACTTTCGTATCGACCAGTGCCCAACGATACTAGACACTGTAATGGAACATTTGGCCAAAGACACTTGCACTCATGAACTGCCAGTGCAGAAGGATTATTTAGAAGCAGGCCTCCATCCTGTAAATTAAAAAAAAGTACAAATGTTATATGTTATGTATAGAAGAGGTAGGCTGAAACAGCAGCATTCACTGGAATACCTGAAGAAGTTAAGACCTTGTCTTCTCAAGACCTTTTAGGTAAGACAGATAGGCATATTGACAACTTTTTAAACAACCAAAAAGTCTGCATCCTAAAATGTTTACTACTGGTATTACAAGGACATATTCTGTAACTAAATCCAAATCACTACCTGCGGATTCCAAAATAAATAAATAAAAACTCACAAGAGCTAAGTTTGGCCAAAGCTACTTTATAAACACAATCATTACATAGGATGATTACATAGGATGCTATAGCCTGGATTAAGAGTTGGAAAATCACAGAATCATTTAGGTTGGAAGAGACCTACTGAGCTTTCCTGGTCCAATCCCCCTGCTCAAGCAGGGTCACCTACAGCACATTGCCCAAGGCCATGTCCAGTTGGGTTTTAGAGCATCTCCAGAAATGGAGACTCCAAAACCTCTCTGGGCAACCTGTTCTGGTGTTTGCCCACCCTCACAGTAAAAACTTTTCTTGTGTTCAGATGGAATTTCATGTGTTTTAATATGTGCCATTGTCTTTTGTCCTGGCAGTAGGTACTGCTGGGAAGAGTACTGCTCCCTCATCTTCACTCCCTCTCATCCTTTATTCGTACACATTGGTAAGATCACCCCTGAGTGTCCTCTTCTCCAGGCTGAACAGTCCCAGCTCTCTCAGTCTCTCCTCATATGAGAGATGCTCCAGTCCGTTCATCATCTTTGTGGACCCATGTGCGACTCACTCCAGTGTGCTCATGTCTCTCTTGTACTGGGGAACTGGACACAGTACTCCAGACATGACCTCAGCAGTGCAGAGAGGAAGGATCACCTCCCTTGACCTGCTGACAACACTGTTCCTAATGTAGTCAGGATGCTGTTGGCCTTTTTTTGCCACAAGGGTGCATTGCTGGCTCACATTCAGCTTCTTGTCCACCAAGACTCTGAGGTCCTTCTCTGCCAAACTGCTTTACAACCAGTTCTCAGCATGGGATGGTGCATGGGGTTATCCCTCCCCAGATGCACGACTGCCTATCCTCTTGTTAAACTTAATAAGAATCCTCCAGCCTGTTCACATCCCTCTGAGTGGTAACCCAACCATCTGGTGTACTAGCCATTCCTCCCAGGTTTGTACCATCTGTGAACTTCCAGGTACACTCTGTCCCATCATTTACGTCATTAATGAAGATGTTAAATAGCATTGGCTCCGGTGTTGACCACTGGAGTACACCTCAAGTGACTTGCTTCCAACTGGACTTTATGACACTGATCTCAACCCTCTAGGCCTAGGCATTCAGTTAGTTTGCAGTCCACCTCGCAGTCTACTATCTAATCCATACTTTATCAGCTTGTCCATGTTGTTGTTATGGGAGATAGTGTCAAATGCCTTATTAAAGTTGAGATAAACAACATCCACTGCTTTCCACTTGTCCACCAAGCTAGTCCATCATTGCAGAAGACTACCAGGTTGGTCAATCATGAGTTCCCCTTTGTAAATCCACGCTGACTATTCATGATCACCTTCTTGTCCTTCATGACTTTGGAAATCCTTTCCAGGAGGATTTCCTCCATCACCTCCTGAAGGATTGGGCTGAGTCCAACTAGCCTGTAGTTCCCCAGAGCTTTCTTTTTTCCCTTCCTGAAGACAGGAGTGATATTTGCTCTCCCAATCACTATGATCATTTAAAGATGATCAAGAATCACCTTGCAATGGCATCAGCCAGCTCCATCAGCACTCATGCGTGCGACCCATCAGGCCCTATGAATTTATGTATCTCCAGTTTAACTCCTCCCTAACCTGGCTCTCCTCCACAAAGTGTAAGTCATCCCTGCACTGGACTTTCCCTCTAGCTTCAAGGGCCTGGGATTCCTGAAAGCCATTTTTACTGGTAAAGACTGAGACAAAGGCAGCATTAAGCATCTCAGCCTTTTCCATGTCATTTGTCACCAGCTCCCCTGCCCCATTCAGTAGCGGGTCCATGTTTTCCCCAGTCTTCCTTTTGCTGTTGATGTACTTGTAGAATCCTTTGTTATTGCCCTTCACATCCCTCTCCAGATTCAACTCTAGGCCAGCTTTTGCTTTCCTAACTCCATCTCTGGAAGACTGGACAAGAGCTCTACACTCCTCCTGGGTCACCTGCCCCTGCTTGCATACCTTTTGTATGCTTTCTTTTTATGCCCGAGTTCAGTTAGGACCTCCTTGTTCATCCATGCCTGCCACCTTTGCTTGATTTCCTGCTTTTTAGGATGGTCCTTTCTTGATCTTGGAGGAAGTGATCACTGATTATCAGCCAGCTCTCCTGGACCCCTCCTCTCTTCAAGGTCATAGCCCACAGGACTCTTCCAAGCAGATCTCTCAAGAGGATGAAGTCTGCTCTCATGAAGTCCAGGGTGGTAGTCCTGATTTTTCCCTGCTCCCTTCTCTTAGGATCTTGAACTCCATCATCTCATGGTCACTGTAGCCAAGGTCTTCTTTTAACTTTCACATCCATGACCAGTTCCTTATTCTTCATAAGGATCAGGTCCAGCAAAGCACCTCTCCTTATTGGCTCCTTCATCAATTGTGCCAGGAAGTTGTCATCAATACACTCAAATGTCCTAGGTTGCTTGAGCTCTCCTGTATTGTCCTTTCATCAGGTGTCAGGGTGATTCAAGCTCCCCCTGAGGACCAGGCCCTGGGAACATGAGGCTTCTTTAAGTTGTCTGAAGATCAGAATTCAGCCCAAGACTAACAGGAACAAAGGCTATTCTTAGCAAATTCTGGAAGTGAGGAGAGACATCTTTTGCCAGCAACATGTCAAAAGCGTAGGTGATTAGGCTGGGATAAAATACTTTAGGACTAATAACAATCAGTATGACTGACAATAAGTCTGAGAAGGATTCGGACAAGGAGATTTCGACCTAGCAAATCTCAAAAACTATGTTCAGCCCTTCTTAGAAGTAAAATGATCATCACTCCAATTAAGAAATGGATTACTTTGGACTTTGAATTCAACAGGACATTCTATATTAGGAATGCCTTTAAATAAAAAGCAGTTACAAAGGCAAAACTTAAGCTGAAAACATTATCAATACCAGAGACAGACCTTTATAGCCAAAATCTACACAAAAAACCCCATGTAAAACAGAAAAGAAACAGAATATTGACTACTTAAGCATTATGCAAAAGCTCCCTGAACTCCCTATATGCCATACCTGACCATCACATCACAAGAACAATAAAAAAAAAGCAACTTTACTCAGGAATAGTTTAGAATAAAAAAAATGTTTTGGACTTGATAAAAGGAGTTTCTGTAAAATTTTAACTACAGCTGTGCTAGATAAATCAGTAAAAACAGGATTACTGAGCTGAGTATTTAGGGGATTTCGTTTATTTTAATTAAGCTTTCATTTTAACCTACAAAAAGCTCTTTGAACTCCTTCTGGATACTGTCCGCTTTGCTCAAAACACTGCTAAAATGAATGGTCTCTTCAGTCCCCGTTATCCTTTGCTTACGTTTAAATTAGCTTCTACATAGAAAACTAAACACAAGGATGTTTTTGTCCTTGATATAGTTCCCCATGAATCTTAATCTAAAATCTTAATAGTTATCTTTGTGGTGTTTACTTTTTTCTTTAATTCTAGATTAAAAACATGCTTACCAAATAATTTCCACTGATCTTGTCAATATAATTTAAATAAACGTGATTGTTTCACCATTGGAAAAATAGTTTTATCAAAAGTTAGGAGGTATATAATACTAGAATACTGTAATATTTTTTTGTAATACTGACAAATAAAAGATCAAAGAAAGGTACACTACACATACCTACACATACCAAATATGTATTGTGATGATACCAACAGCTTTGTGCAATGATTTCCATATTTAAACATTCGCCAATTTAGGTTTATTGACATTTCAGTAAATATCCATTCCTAATAATTTTCAATTTAGACACCTTTTACATAACTTCTAGCATTTATATAGCTACATGTCATTTTTGGAAAGTTAGAAGTAGGACTCAATAAGGAAGGCAATTGATTATTTTCTTCCCCTCTAGATTATGGTGGATAATGACCACATACTGATCAATATTCTGCTTCAAATCAGCTTCCTCTGTTTAACAAAGATGTTCATCATATTGCTCTTTTGCTTACAACGATCAACTACTGAAGCAGTAAATAACGTTATCAGTTAAATCAGACTATTAAGGACTTACTGAAGGAAATACTGCAATAATTTATTTAATCCTGCAGCTCCAGAAACCTTAGCGCTAATTATGTCAAAGGCTGAAATTCTTGTGGAAAAAATTTTCACAATTTTAAAATTAGTTGCAATGGTTTCACATGGATGTGAATTCTAAGAAAACTGTAAACAACAAAGAACTTCCAGTTCTAAGATTAAAAAATTAAGACTGTCTTCAAACATCCCTCCATTTTTATTATTAGATATATTGCTATGGTACAGTCTGTGCACACCGAAAAAGGGAGACAATATGACCAGTATATTAGATAAACTACTAGATTATCAACATACACCTGGGCTAAAAGCAAAACCAGTAGGTCAAATGATTATCCCCGTGAATTGAGTACTCATGAGGTCAAACTGGGAATACCACGCACAGTTTTGGACACCCACTTACAAGGCACTGAAAAACTGGAATACAGTAAAGAACCACGAACATGGCTCAGGGGCTGAAGCATATAACACATGAGATGAGATGTAGGAAACTGGGTTTGCTTAACTTGGAAAAAGAGGAAGCCAAGCAGGAATCCGATCACAATCTTCCACTACCGCAAGGGGGAGAAGACACAGCCAGACTCTCAAAAAAAAGTGCAGCATAAGAGCCGGAGAAACTGCGGAATCTCCATCCCTGGACATTTTCAAAACTCAGGTGGGCAAGGCCTTGAGCAACTTGACCTAACTTTGAGGTTTACCCTGCTTTGAACAGAAGGCTGGA